TAATTCATTAAAAAGAAAAAAATTATCATTGAAGACATAATTTAATCTCAGGAGGTAAGCAGCAAAGGCTTCTCTAAATTAGGATTATTTGAGCTGAGAGGAAAAGAATATGTAGTTGTCAGTCAGAGGAAGGAAGCAAAAGACAAACGTGATAGATTAAAGGAACGGGAGGCTTGGTTTCTCTGTGGGGCAGTGATTTTGCTGACTAAAAGAATTTTAGAGGTCTGAGAGAAGGAGAACAGAGAATAAGAGCTACAAAGAATAGCATTTGTGAGGTACACAATTCAACATTATTCCTTAATGTGCCTCTCATGTAGGTCATTTATGTTTATTTGTGAGTCAGAGGTTGTGACTGTTTACCCACTGTTTCCATTTTTACATAGAATGGCTCTTTCAAAACAGCACAGACAATAGGATAATCTATATTAAAAAAACTAAAGTCTTTGTGCTGCCCAAGAATAAGCCAAAGCAATGTAACCCAACTTTCGTCATTCTCCTGAATATCTAAGATGAGAAATGGAAATGGGCTTGAGTATTAAAATCTTAGAAATAATTATCCTATATGTAGATGATAGTATGGTCTCTCATACTTTGGACATATTGTCAGGAGGGGGCAGTCACTGGAGAAGGATATCGTGTTTGGTAAGGTGGAGGGTCAGAGGAAAAGAGGAAGACCACCAAAGAGATGGACTGGCCAAGTGGCAGCATCGATGGATTCAAGCGTGGCAACAATAGTGAGGTTGGCCCAGGATAGGGCAGTGTTTCATTCTGCTGTGCATAAGGTCCCTATGGGTTTACACCTAACAACAACAAAGATGAAATGATATTTTAAAAAAGAACTTTAAAGTGCTATTTGTAAATTGGCTGGATAATAAAGAAATATTTAGAAATTAATAAATTTTCATTAGGAGCAAAAAGAGAGAATATATATACACACATATGTTGGTTTTTTAGGAACAAATGGAAAATATCTGCTGAATAATATGAGTCCATCAAGTAGGTAATGGATAAAATATAACAGCAATCTACAATGTATAGAAGATAGTGAAGAAAGGATGCTTGGTAAGAGGGATGAAATAAAATGTCAAAAGTGGTTGCATCAGAAGTCTTCTGGAAAATAACACATTCAAGCAATGGTCATTTGCAACTCTTCTAGTTACGAGAGAGGCTCTAGATTCTAGAAAGACAATGAAGAAACAAAAATTAGAGCTAGACAAAGGCTGACTCTAGTGAAAAATGGACTTCCCTTCAAGTACAGAAAGTTCACCTTTCTAGACAAATATGGAGAGATTCCATCTCCTTACCAGAAAGATGAACACAGTGCATCATTTTCCTCCTCTTTTCCTTCTTACTCCACAAGAATTGAATAAGACCCATTATCTCTTTCTAATGGTATCATTGAAGCTGTTTCTCTTAACCATGTTCAGTCTTTGTAAAGTCCAATTTGATTTTACCTAGACAGGGATGAAATATTTACAGCATGAAGAACAATGAGGACAAGTTCAAAATTTCTAGTTTCCAGAGGGTTGCTTGCAGAGCTTTTCACTAAATAAATTGTTCTATTGTCATTCTCTTTAAATTATTCAGCTCCCTTAGGAACAAAGATGCTAAATGGATCATTTTCTTTCATTTTAGGTAGCTACAGAAGGGAGGAGGTGATTATTTCCTCCTAGGAATAATTCTTCTGTCTTTAGTTTGATTTTAAAGTAACAAGCTATTCCCTAAGGGAAGCTTAACTTCTACAAGGAACCAAATGGAACCATGACTCTTAGAGTGAAACTGCACCTTGTGAAGTGTTTATCTTCAAGAATATTTGGAGATTTTATGGATCACTTGGTGCTCTCAGGTTATGGAGGCAGAGAGGTCCTATCCAAAGAAAAGCAAACTGGTTAATACTTTTAATGTTGGGTAATAACGGGAGAAAGATGAGGCTTTTTGCTCCCGTAAAGATTTACAGCCTCGGAAACCCTGTACAGGGT